AATATGCAAAAAAATTTTTTACCATAATATATAAAATTTTTTCTATCACAATATTGTCAGATTTTATATCAAATTTTTTTTTACAGTATATTGATATTTTTTGCCAATTTTTTATTAATATTTTTAATGTTGAGTGGTAACAATTGTAAATAATTCATCAATATTTTTATTATTAATTTTTGTCAAATTCAGTAGTCAAATAACACAATTTCAACTAGTAATTAGTGTATATATATATTTAGAATATCTTGTTTTCAAAGAGTTTTAATATCTTTCTAAGCCTTGAAATGATTAAAACAACTTGATTTATTGAATGAACTTAGTTGCTTTTATAGTTTCTTACAATATTTAAAAAGATATTAATTTGTACTAGTCTAACTATAAACTGTATAAAGTTAATATTGATTTTTTTTTTCTAACTATAAATTAGTTTTCAAGTTTCTTTTTTTCTCCTAAAAATTTTTAAGTAAAAGAAATAAAAAGATTAATAAAATAATATATACCTTTATTATTGATATTTCTGAATACTTTATTATATATATATTGTAAGTGCTTAGTAACTTAATTTAAAGGATATGTTATTTTTTTTTATGTGTTTAGACTGGTTTACTTTTTTCAAAAAATTTTTTTTAAAAAAAAGAGAATCAGTGAAGAGTTTAATATTTGTAGTTGAATTATATAATTATCAATTTATTTATATTATTAATATATCAAATTATTTATTTTTTATCTAATATTATATAAGTAATAATATATCAAATAATTTTTTTTTGACTAGTATTTATAAAGTAAAGTTTAAATAGTTTATATCAAGTATAATAAATATTATTAAATAGTCTAAACTGCAAATAATATTATTAATCAATTTTTTTTTTTTTATATATTCACAGTCAAATTAGATTATAATTTATTAATTAACTGAAAACATAAATATATTTTTATTCAACAATAAAGCTTTATATTGTTTTTTTAATAGGTAAATAGGTAACAATACTTCAGTTCTTCTTTCTTTCAGAACTTTCTTGCTATTGATAAAAAAGATGTATTTATAACTTTGATTACTTTTGATTTGTTGAAAATATTTACAAGAGGAAGGGGGAGATAAAGATAACTCTTAAAGTATTATTTCAAGTTAATTTAAGGAAAGTGGTAAGACTTTATTAGTAAGAAATAAAAAAATTTCTTGTGAACATTTTTTTTGTATGTAGTTAGAGAATCGGTAAAAAAAAGTCTATAAAAATATATATAATATATATTATATATAAAATTATCTATAAAATTTGTATTATATTTTTTAAAATAGTTTTTTTAAACTTAAAAATAAAACTTTAAAATAAACTTATTAATAAATTATTAAATAAACTTTAATAAATAAATTTTTAAATTCTAAAAAATGTATTTTAAAAAATTTTTTTATATTAATAAAATTTTTAATCAAGAGATATCCAATAGAATTGTGATTTGGACTATATGAAGATCAAGAAAGTTTTTTGATATTATTTTTTCTAAACCAATATAAAGTAAGTTTAATAGTATGAATTTTGATATTTTTATCTTGAAATATATAATGTTTTTGATTAACTATATTCTTTAGACTATCTAAATAAAGTAAAAAACAGCTTTGAAGAATTTCTATATAGTTTTTTATATTTATATTCCTATTAACTTTAATTAAAGATTCTGTAACTTATTGTTTCAAACAATGTTTTTCTATTTTTGATTTCAATATTTTTTTTTTATTTATTATAAATAATTTATATAATTATTCTTATTTATGAATAGTTTTTTTTTATCAATTTGATTAAAAAATCCCTCTTTATGAAGATGATGTTATATAATATATTTGAATATATTTATAAAAATTGATTTAATAAACTTGTTTGTTAAAATATTTAATATAACTTTTTGATCTTGTTTTAAAAGAATAACAAAATAATGAATATCATATTCAGTTATTTTAGAAGGTTATCCAGGATAAGAAAAAGATTTTGTTTCTTCAATTGTTTTTGTAAGATATAATCATATCATAGATAGTAGTCTTGAGTAATTTTAAAGTCATACTATTGATATTGGTTTCATACCACTTTTCCAAGCACTAATAATTTGATTTCATTGAATTTTAATAAGCTCTTTTCTTTATTTCATAGTAAAAAAAAAAAATATAATTGAATACTTAAAGTTTATATAAACCATAAAAAAAGTTTTTTGAAAAGAATTGATATAAGCTTGCATATAAAAAAAAACATTGTAAACAACTATTTTTGACTATCAATTACTGTATATACAATTTTGAAAATTCTAATGACTTTTACTAGAAAAGTATATATAAGATATTTATAATTTATTAAATATTATATATTAATTTATCTATTATTAAAATTACATTTTTTTTTTTTTAGATATAATTTATTTTTTTTTCTTTTTGACTTGAATTATTTTTTAATCAAAAAAAAAATAATTTATTATTATAAATAAAATAAAAATTTTTAATTAATGTAAATAATAAATTTATTATATAACCAACTTAATTTTTTTTATGGTATTGCATATTTTAATATGATACAGATCATTTCATGAAAACTTTATATGAAATAAAGAATAGCAATTAGATTTTTATTTTATTTTATTTTATTTTATTGTATTTGAAACCTGTTTTGTTTTATTTTTTCAAAAATTTTTAACATGTATTTTATAACATTTTATTTGTTTCTCTTCTTTATTAATTATCATACGTATAATTTATAATAAATATTGATTAAAATTATTTGAATAATAAAATTATTAATTTATTAGAAATTCATGTTAATATTGCTTTGAAATATTAATAAATAAAATACAGTATACATTAATTTCTTAATTTATATAAGTATTTGCAATCCTGAGTGAGTGCCGTTAGAGTTGTCACTTACTGCATTGGGAAATTACGCTTCCGGGAAGTTCAACTCAGACTGTATTTGCCCATTCACATAGACAATTTCCCATGGGATACAAGGTCGTCATACAGTAAGAATGAAAGACATCACACTTTCTCATGCTGTCTAAAATGTTTAACATTAATTCTTATTTCCACAATAGAGAGAGATGTAAATATCACATCCCGGGCGATTCTGAGTTTGATTCAGGATTCAGAAGCGCGCGATCTTTATTTGAAAACCTTGAGCATATCCAAAAGCAGAGAACGAAGACGAATTCCCCTCGTAGATCGGACAGCAGTCATTGAGAAAGTAAACGTGTATCATGACTAGTTTAGATTTACGATGGATATACTCAAAAAAGGCAATTAGCGTTAGCGAAGCAGCTGTCGGCGGATATGCATACTATTTATCATAATAGAAACTCGCCGCTAGTTATGAAGCCAGAATGAAAGGCATAGCCAAGACTCAGTATAGTTACACGGCATGAAGGGCAAAATAGGCAAAACGGATTTTGGACCCTTCTCCAATGCCCGCAATTATTACTGGTGAACATATGGTGGTATAGAATTACATAATAATTTTTCAATGAACAAAAGTTTTCGTCAATATGATTGATTGACGTAATACTTTCCCAAATCCATGAGGGCTTAAATTAATTTTAATTTAGAAGGTATGTGTAATAACAGGGTAACCCTTTTTTCTTTTCTAACAGTTTCATTATGTGGGACACACCATCGACACATCTCTCTTGCACGTAGACGATCTTTCTCGCGTAGTTTAATCTCGCCCGTGAAATTTACACTGACCTGAACTTTCCGCATTAGACGGGATCACACTCGCCGAAGCCAAATATACTTGCTGGATACCATTCGATAAGAAATTAACAACGACAGGTAAAAATTAGTAAAACAACAATAGTAGTATACAGTATGTTTTTTTTTTTATTGTTTGTGAATCGTAAACTGCATTGCATACACCGCACTTTGAGCCGTTGATTCAGCCTTGTTTTATCTTGATCTGTACTATGCTTTTTTATTTTTAACTATACATTAGAGGACAAGTGTTACAATGTGTTCACTAGATTATTGTAATGTCCGATAATATAGTGTGTTTAAATTGCGCACGAAATTTTGTTGACGGCGAGTAGACGTAAAAAAAAAAAAAAAAACATACATTTTTTATTTATTAATATGCAAACCCGTGAGAATTATAACTGTCAGAGATTTTAATTTCATAGACGCGAAATCTCAGATTCTTGGCTCTCATTTCGTATTATTTTCCAAGAAGTGAATACGGAAGTGTGCCATGCACAGTATATACAGTAAATCTTTTTTTTCTCACCAAAATCCACATGCTCGGGTGTTACTTTTTAGGGGGATTGCATACTCTACTCAATATTCTACTTGGAAAGCCGTGATAATCTGTATTTATCTTACAATGGTGGAATATTAATAATTATTTGATGCATATTCTATAGGCACAAAGAGAATAAAATAATTTTCTTCATATATCATTTAAAAAAAAAAATTCCCAAAGCTTACAACAAAAGTGCGTGGTTCCAAAATGGTTTAACTTTCGAAGTCAGCGCAATTTAAATCATTTCTAATTGTGGTCGTTGAATTACATTGTTTTTCACAGGCTACGAACGCCCCGGCTATTTTCCAAAAGAATCAAACGACATTACATACAAATTACATCTTTCTAATATTCGCTAGCTTTCTGTGTTAGAACCCTTAGCTGTGTCAGGTATAAATAGGAATAATAATTGAACTGATAGGCAATTTTCTGGCTAGGATTTATCGTCCACTTTCACTGCATATGCAAACGATTATTTGAAGCGCTTACGCTAACAGATTTTTTCTTATTCAAAAAGATTAATTGGCTTACACAGACCTTTGTTTAACACGAAATAAACAGAAGTTAAAATCAACTAGGTTATTTTTCATTATTTTATATATATCATCTGTCAGGAGTACGACTTAACCTTGTTGCTGAGTTGGCCTTCCTTTTTTTTTTTTTTTTACATAATTTTTCTTCTAAAAAACAACCGAACAATAATAATAACACCCTCCTTTGAACGAAAAAATGTCGGTTGCTCCATACCCACCACCTCGTAATAATTACCATGAACCAAAGATGATGCAAACTTCCCACACATACGGTAATTCGCCCGCGACATTCGTGAAAGCACCGCCGTCGAAGACACCCATCATCAAGTACACATATATCCGGGAAGAAAATGGCACAATAGCCGTCTACCATCAACCCACCAGGGTGCTGATGTACCACATTATCACTCCATCCTTGAACAGTCCTCATGTATCCATAGTCGACAAGCACACCTCCGATGTCATATGGAACTCCAGAGTCATCTCCTCATCGGATGTCGGCGGCGCCGATGGTACCAAGATCAAACCCACCGCAGATTGGGAATGCACAAATTATAGCGATGCACACTTGAAATCCCAACGAAATACATCAATCAAGTTCGAAAAATCATTAAAAGGTTACGTATGTTCGTGGAATGGTCGGGTGTTCCTATGGAAATTGTATGGCAGCGGAGGAGATATTTATTGTGTGGAAGGGCTGAGCGGTATCGGCGAGAGGATCGCGCAATTTGAGGACAAATCGAACACATTGATGATTGATTTGAGCCGTCGATTTGCCAGTGTCGATAACCACAAGAATATTGAGGCCAATTCAGCGGATTCACTGAAATCATTTGAAACCTTCATCTTGATGACAGGATTGATAGCAAAGAATTCAGCAAAGAAATTGCAATCCAACGTCGTCAATCGACTGAGCAACAATTACACTGATGTCCATTTGTTTAATTATTCTGGATTGTTTTTATTTTGTGGCTTGTGTGGAACATATTAATATGGAAACTAATTCTAATGATGATAATATAGTATATACCAGTTTACTTAATTTGCGCATCTTTTTTTCCTGTCATATAATCAGTAGTTATGTTCTCAATAAAGTATGAATATCACAATTCCATATTTGATTTTTCAGTCTCTCTGTGAGAGAGAGAGATCATCTATATCTATTGCTCGAGTAACATGGTTCAAGGTGGTAAGTGATTGATTGATATCGTATAATTTAATAAGAAAGAAAAAAAAAAAAAAGAAAAAAACCCCCCGCAAAATTCTATAATAATGTACACATTCCTTGATCCTAAAGTAATCCAAGGTAGTATGTACACACAGTCTACATTACATTCGTATAGTATAAACGTTGCTCTAGACATCTTCACCAAAAATTTATCTCACGTCATTCTTTTTTTCACCATCCAGCATTCGGTCGATCAACCAGCGCGTATCTAATTTGATTTTAGTTGATCATTGATTCCACTATAGTAGTCACGTCGTGTCTTATTCCATTTGGTTTAGTCCACCCGATCTCTCAATCGCAATTTAAATACAGGCTGATACTGCTTAAAAAGTCTATCGGAACATCCTCATGTATGCTATAAAAAAAAGTGAAACAATTTTCACATTGGTGAAATGATTTTGGCAGGTGCATACAGATGCGAAAAAAAAAAAAAAAAAAAAAAAATTTCTTGCCTAAAATTAATGCACCAGCACCCGTCAATGTGCCTGTTATATACACGGACGATCATTAGTCAACGCGAGATAACGAATCGATGCATAACGAAACATCCTAAAGCACTTACCAATCATATATTGTAAGACCTGAAATTTGATAGCCTCCATCTGGGTCCTTAAATTACTAATTTCACTTTCAATTCTAGTATCCGTTTCTTTTAGTTTCATTTCCAACATACTTGATTCGTCCCTTATCCTGCCCTTCTCTAAATTCATATCTAATCGGGTGGCGGCTTGCGTTCTTTTGATCTCTTCGCTCAGTCTCTGCTTAAGTTTTTCCACCTCCGCCACCAATCTTTCATTGTCTGACTTTAGCAATGAAAAATCATTCTTTTCCAACATTTGTATCTCCGATTTTAATTGGGCAAAATCTACTTTGGACTCGTACATCTCCTGTCATTGTAGTTAAGTAGGTAAAAGGGGTATTTGTCAAAGTGCTTAACATCATCGATTACTCACCCTCTCCTGATCAGCCTTGGTCACCATATTTCTGGTTAAATATTGCATGCTTTCAATCAAGGAAAAATAAACGAGGTCAATAAATAAGGAAGCGAAAAAAGACCATGTGAGAATGTGGGTCACACCTTTCACTTATAACCTCGGACAATGAATTCATTATTGCCTCGCTTTGTTGTCGGGTGAATCCTTCCGACTCTAACTTTTGCACAAACTGACTCGTGTCAAACAAGTTTGGTTGAAGTTTTGTTATCGGCGTCTCAAAAAATGTTCTCTTCTGTAGACATTGATATGTTGGTATGGTGAAATTCGATAGAATGTTCCGATTGACTGGAGTGGAAGTCAATAAGGTTCAAAGTTCTCGAATTAAAAAGAAAAAGAAAGAAAGAAAAACCAAAAAATCGAACATATCACAGATCTAGACAATACCATCAATTTGCATTCTAGGATTGATAAAACGGCGAAACTTTGATGACATCATTCTTTTGAAATTTGATTTCGAGGATACGACAATTCCTGATATCAAATTTTTTAGGATTCACATGTGAGAGTGACTTGGAAATTAATCAGCCAATAGCCTTTTT